AAGGTTCATTTTAGATTCATTACAAGCCTTCAGAAGCAGTGTTCTTTCTTTTAATAAAACATATGGTTTCCTCAAAAGCAAAACTGTGCAAGACCACACATCCCTTTTAGATTTGGTGATGTAGATGGAATTTTAATGTCAAAAAGCCAGAAGGGCAAGGTAATTCCAATTCTATGGAGAGAGCAGCATATCTTTAAAGCTTCAGGACACTTTATTTACCAGCACTGGTAACTGTTCATACCATAGGTAAAACTTCTTTGGAAAAGAATGGGCAATTCCCCTTCTGTTCTGTCACCTGTGCAGGTGATAATTGTGGTCAAGGAACTTTCTGGGGTCTCCAGTCCCTGCCTGAATGGGGAAAAACCACACCCATCTTTCAGGTGAATGATGTAACTACAGAGAAGTTGGCCTGTTTAATCACTTATAAGTATTTTTTTCTCTTTTCTGTTCATGCACAAGAATGTCTCATCTCTTGAAAAAAAAAATCAGTAAAGCTATTTCCTGCCTTATTTAGTCTATGAACTGTATCAGAGTTGTGCTTGGCTCATTATACACAGCCACATGCCTGCTTTGGGCAGCTTCCAAAGAATTGTGACATACCATGAAGGAGAGAAGGTTTAACACAAGGAGAAAATAGGGTTACAGGCAGGGTGATTATGCTGGCAGGTTATTTTTTCACTGCAGAGAAAGGCTGAGGATGTTTGTTTTTTTGTTGATACATCCCTCAGATAGAATCATTGGTGTGTCCATGACCAGCAGTGGTCTCCAGCCTTAGCTTTTTCCTCCTTTTTATGTGATGCATTTAAACCCTCCCACTTCCAGTTTCTCTCTGACAAGGCTGCAACAAATTTCAACAGTGAGAGGAGCAATATGAAAAAAAAAAAGAAAAAAAAAAAGGAAATGCTCCACTTCTTTCTGTAATGCATTGCAAGTGTGAGGCCTGTCAAGGGAAGGTCACCCAGAAACCCTGAGCAGTAGTCACAGATTCCTTAAGAGGGGCAGTTGTCAGTGCCCGCTCTTTCCAGCAGAAAAAATGAAATGTTCTATTTTCAGCCAGCAGAACACACAGAGTGAGTGACCTGCCACACGAGCAAAGCGTGAGGGAAAAATCTCAGGAAATCACTTAGGGGTTCTCTAGCTTTCTCCATTCCCTGGAAGTGCATGTACAAGCAGATGAAAATGAAGTATGGAAGAGAGCTTGCCACTCATCCCCATGTGCAGTGTGTAGCTGTAGTTTATCAGCACAGCTCCAGAGTGTGTGTTCCGAGGTGGGGCTCAGCAGGACAGCTGACAGGAGAGGTTTATGTCCAGCTGTGACCTAGCAGGCTGACTCTGAATGAGGAGTCAACAGCAGGCACCTGAAAGAAGTGTTTTCCAGTCATATCACAAAGTTCCAGTTATGCTGACACATAAAGAGGCCCTGGGCTCCCTTCTCCTTCTCCTCCCATTAAGCCAGCAAAAACCCCAGAATTATTTTATAGAGAACCAAGTCTTGCTTGCTTTCCAAAACTAAGCAAACAAAAAATCACACCCACATAGAAAAGGAGAACTAATTAAGATTAAGTCATATCTGAGTAAATATGCAAATTAAAAATCAAAACAAAGAAATTCTATTTATCACATCATGAAGTTGCAAATTGCTGCAGTGGCTCCCATCAGCTGGAATAGATGGGGGCTATGAGGCCACAGGTTTTGAAGATCAACCAAATGTGTATATGTTTTATTGTGAAAGCTGGGGGACTGCTGGCTCTAGAATATATTACCAGCCTTCCCCCTTTCCTCCTGCACTGTGTTCATGTTTAGTGGTATTCATAGTCTATATTTGTCTTGGATTTCTATAATGTAGTGTCATTGGTTTTCCTCTTTGTTTACCTTCTGTAAGACAACATCATTATTCTTTGATAAATATGTTTCATGTCTCCTGGGTAGGTTTTTTGTTGTTGTTGTTTTGCTTTTGGTTTTTGTTTCATTTCTTGTCAGGTGAATTATTTTCCAGCTTTTAAAGATCAGATTAAAAATAAACAAACAAACCCCTAAAACTCTGTTGGGAAAGAATGCAATAGTCAATAGATGTAGGCAATCCTGTTCCTTACCATGTTTCACCATTTGCATGGAAGGAGGAGATGGTCTCCGTGATGTGGGGAAGCACATGCAAGGACTGGCACTTGGTTGGTGGAACTGGCTGGCTCCTCCACGTGCCACATGCTGCCACCCCTCCTCTTCCAGAAGAACCTGCTGCTTGGAACCAGCCCATTTGTGTTGCTTTGTAATGTGTTTTAAATCTCCTTGCAACAGAAAGTGAGTTATTGAGATGTAAGGTTGCATTTATGCAAAGATGTAACTGGTTTGTAGAGTCTGTTAGTGTGATAAATACTGTCTCAGCTTTGAAGTCAGCAGTGACTGCAGCCCGTGTTGGCAGCAGGAGGAGGTTGGTGCCATCTCTTTGCTGTTTGCTAGCTCAGTGTGAGGCTGGTGGTGGTGGCTCTGGTCCAGGGGGTGTCAGCCACTGCTAAGATCAGTGCTGACTGCCTTGCTCATCACTGCCACAAGCAAAGGAGCAAAGGGCAAAAATAATGAGGAAGAAAATCTTCTTTCCTGACCACCAGACAGGGTCTAAGCACATCCTCACTCATGGGGAGCTTCTTTCTGCAGCACAACTGCCCCCCTGGATTGAGCTCTCATGGTCTTGGTGTTTTGTGTGCTGTTCAGGCAAACAACAAGGGGGAGCTTCGGAAGTCCATTACAAATGTTTTATGAATAAATGATTGCTTCCTAAGGAATATCCCTTCAGTCTTCAATATAAAGAAAAGGCAGGGGTTTTTTTTTATTTTTTTTTTGTCTTTCATTCTCTGTTTGTTGTCTTCCAGACTTCCCTTCATTAGCAAAATGTTTTTGTGGTAGGAGGCATTTTCCCTTTTTTGTCAGAAATGCAGTCCTAAAATCACTTAAATTATTGAAAAATTCAGAAGATCCTGTTATTTTGTTTTCCAGATTTAAGTAATAATAGGAACCTTTTTTCCCCCCAATTATCCTGTTAATGCAAATGTTTGACCTTTAGTTCCTAGGCTGCAAGCTGTTCCATCTGTAAAATATCAGTGAGCTGGGCAACAGCTATGTTCTGTGTCCCAATGGCATTAGCAGCTCCTTCAAAATGTACAAGTGCTATATTGGAAGTAGGTATGCTTTGGTTCATTCTGATTGGAAATCTGCAAGAGCAGGGCTGATAAAAGAAAATTCTGGTTCCCCTGGGTTTAGTCAGCTTTGAACATTATCATAGGTAGTCAGTACCATGGTAATTCATACCATGCCTGCATAGGAAAAATCAAGGAAGAAATCAAACCCACTGGTCAGACTCAGCTGGGACCGTTGCTGTTGCTGTTTGTGCTGGGAGGATTGTCCTGGTTTGTTTGTTTTGTTTCATGTCACATCCTCATTTTCAGTATGAGTTCTTCCTGACCCAGATTTCTGAGCAGACTGAAGTAGAGCCAGAAACTGTAAAAGTGCATAATTATTCTTTTATTTATTTTTAAGCTGTACAGCTCTATTAAGCTTTCAGAAAATCCTTTATACCCAGCCTTTGAAGTAAACTAAGCCAGAGATCAGCCTGAGAAGGAGATGTGGGCTGACACTGCTTGTTTCTGCTGCAGAATAGTCTGTATGCAGTTAAGATCTGAGTCTCAATCCTAGGAAAATCTTACACCTTTCTTGGAGTGCAGAAGAGGGGAGGGATCATCAATACATCCAAAAAGCAATACTTTACACCTTTGGTATGTTCTGAAACCTCACTTGCTGGAACTGCTGTGAAACAGCTGAAAGCTGGAAGATTATTCTGGTTACTGACATGTAAGTGAGCAGACCACACATTAAAGCTGTGTATGCTCCATCTGCCAAGCCATTCATTCTTCCCAGCTCGGGACAAATTAGAAACTCTGGGTCAGAGGTGGAATATTATTGTTCCTTTCCCCATCCCCCAAAGCAATACATTCCCCTGCTCTGAGTCTGATCGAAAACATTGACCTGGAGGTGAAAAATGAAGTATCTCTTCACCTGATTCATCCAGATTGTGACCCAGACAGCACTGAAATCACAGGCTTCTTTCTGGTCTCAAAAAATTACCCAGCTGCCCTCATGGGCTGAGGGCCTTATGGGATGTGAGCAGCTTGGGAGAAGAAGGAACCCCAGAACCATCTAGTCTAGTGGTCACTTTGTTCCATAAATAATTGCATCAGGAAAACCTCATGCAGTGTGCACTGAAAGTGGGCATGTAAGGAAAGCCCCTGTGGCCATTCCTTGGAGTAAATTTCAGGGGGGCCAAGGTGGGATAAACCACCTTTCTGAGAGCCAGGTGTTGTGGCTGTGACATCTACTTGAGAGTCTTTCCTCAGCCATTCAGGCTTGACTGAATTTGGCCCTTCCCCAGGAAGTGATGCTATCACTCCTGGTGCTTCTGCCCTCCCTGGAGCCAGTGTGCTTGAAGATCCAAGAGGCTCAGTTTTTTGTTTGTGCTGCCTCTTGTTAGCAGTGCTCTGAGCTTGCACAGAACAGAAGGAAAAGATGCCAAAACACTTCAACCACCTGCATTAATTAGGTCTTACACTAAATGTGGAACTACAGCAAGGGGGAGGATCAGCAAACTTCTGGAAACTGAATACCTTCTTCTCTGCTATATTTCAGCTTCTGTAACCTTTGTAAGTGCCTCAAGGCAAGAATGGTATCGTCTGTATGTAAACCACTCTGTTTCTGTATAAGCAATAGCAGTAATAGTGATGGGAATAATAACACTTTACTCCTGAGAGGTCAGTGAGTATCACTCTTCATTTCATCACTCTCATTGGTGAGACAGACACAAAGACACACCAGAGCTTGCTTTGTACCACCTCATTCCTTATTAACAGAGCCAAGGCTGAACCCAGAAAAAGCATTTCCCTGTTGCTTGCTCTTCCCCCTGAGAACACCCCCTCCTTTGGTGACGTCCAGTCTCTCTTGTGGTTTTTCTGCAGAAGGTGCAGTAACAGCAGCCTGGAGTCTGATGATGAACCTCCTTGTGCAGAAGAGATTGATTATGACACTGCCAGTAGCTCTGACGGTGAAGAGGAATTCTTGGAGCTAGACCATGAGATCCAGGAGTACCTCTCGTGTGTGGAAGGCAAGACAGAAGATGAAGGAGTGACCACAGGAGAAACATGCAGCTCCAGGGCTCTGAGGGGCCTCTACATTTCCAGCCAGCCAGCACCCAACAGCACAGCTCTTCCTCTGGGCTCAAAAGCACTTGGGCTCTACAGTGGGTTCGAGAGCAGTCCTGTGTGAGCAAGGCTGTGACTTGCAGAGCAGCAAGAAGTGGGTCACTGCTCATGTTTGCCTGTTTGCCAGCTTCACAGCACCCTTCCCAGATGTGTTGCTCCTGGATCTGAATGGATAGTTGACTGTATGATTGTGTAATTTGTATTCATACATCTGCTGAGAATGATTCCTTACACCTTGTACATGAGGCAGAGGGAGGGGCCGCTAGCCCTGGCGGTACTGTGTGAAATCATCCATTCCTAAACATAATTCCCAGTTTCATGGCTGCCTCTAGTATATGGTTTCATACAGGTTGACCTAAGGAATAGTATTTTGAGACCAAGGAATCAGAGATGATTCTCTTTTTCTGACTTTAGGCAGCCTTTGCCTGGAGAAGAGACAGTTATTGATGCCTTTCACCAGAGCTCTCTGTTGCCATTCTCTCCTGAGCTGTAGAGCATGTCTCTGATTTCTGTCTGATCAGAATTTTTACAGTGCAAGACCAACAGGTTGGGTCAGGCTGTGCATATTTCCAAGCTGGTTCTATCTCAGCAACAGCATGGGAAATCCAGTGTGCCACAGTAAGGAAAGGAGCAGTGACAAGTCATAGTGATCCTCTGGAAACCTGGGCTAAATTCACCAATAAATTAGTGATTGTGGCAAAATCCAGGAGTGAATTTAGCCCAAGCATTAATCAGAACAGTTTCTTTAATCCCTAAATGGAGAAAAATTAGATTTCTCCTAAAATTGCCTCCCAGTTCCTGAGAATCCAGCACAGACAGAGAACCCACACATGTATCCCTAAAGCATGAAGCCATGTCGTTTTAGCTTACATTTCATATTGCCTGATCTTGCCATGTGTCTTAGACTCTGCTGCTGTAAATGGGGAATTGCCCTGAATCCAAACAGAGCTAATTTTAAGATGCAAGAGGCTCCCAAGTCTGTCACTACTTTGTGAGGCTCAAGGACAAGGATGAATGTGCAGTGTGTTGTAGCATTACAGCCTGCAAGGACTCCAGTGATTACCGGTGATGATTATTATTAATATTGATACATTATTAAAAGCACTGTGCCATCTTCCTGGTTCTTATGCTGGTTGTGAAGAGGATTCCCAGTGCAGAACAAGAAATGCTCTGATGTGTTTCTGAGCACCTTTCCTCATACTACCTAGACAATATTTTCCAGCAGGAGGCTGCTCTTTAGATAAAAAGCTTCTTCCTGTCCTGCTCGGTTTTCAGTATCCACGTATTTTAAAGTCTTCACTAGCACATAAGAGCTCCCTGTGTCTCTATCTCTCCATGATGCTGCTCAAAAGACAGGCAGCTTGGGTCCTTAGAAATTGAGCTTCTTAGCCCAGACTAATGCATTAGGTGTGGTGTGTGCCTCTGTACAGATGTCCTGTTCTGCTTGGTTTAGTGTTCACCTTGTTGCACACAATACTGAATTTTAATAAAAGGGTGGCTCACAGGAAGGGACACAAAAGAGGTGAAACAGGTGTTCCCATAATAATAGTTTGTATAATACTGCTTCAAAGCTTATTAATAAAGAAACAATGTATGTGCATAATTAGCTTAAAAATCCGGTGCTTGTAGGCATGACAAAAACTTGACACTCAGCTAGGTCCTGGCTGCAGCATGCAAAAGCCAGGCTGTGGGATATTCAGCATTTACATCCCCAGGACACGGGTTAAAAAGTGCTGTTGTACATATCTGTGTCTGTAAATGTGCATGTCTGCACCCACTTTGCCTTCTATGCCAACACTGCCACAACTGTAGCTGGAGGCTTGCCAGTGGTAAACCCTATTGCAAAGAAAAGAAAATCTTCTTAAATCAGTGTTTTCCTTGATGAGATGCAAATATTTTGGTTATAATATTTGGCTTTCTAGCTGTTTCATTCTGGTTTTTTTTTAAGATGGGGGTAATTCAGTTCAGTGGGAAAATTCTGCCCTGGTCACTTGTGCAACTTGTTGCAACTTGTGCAAGAGTTGTCAAAATGTAATAAAAGATGTATCTTCCATGTGTGTTCAGAGCCAAATGTGTGTGAGCAGTACCACCAGTTCAGAGATGCCTGTGCTGGGAGCTGCAGGAGGTGTGGAGATGGCAAAGGCTCTCGGGGTGTTTGCAGTGTCTGGGATCCAAAGGCAGCAGCTGGGCTGGGAGCAGTGTCCCTGGACATCAACCACACCCGTGTGAATGCTGCTGTGTGGTGTGGAAAACCTGCTCAGCCTTCTCTCCCTGCCAGTATCCCATGGCTGTGCCCAGGAAGGTGCCAGCAGGTAGTGAGGGCAGGAGGAGCCCCCAGCCCCAGGGTGCTCCGCTGCTGCTGAGGAAGCGCAGCCAGGGAGAGGTGGGTGGCCAACCCCTTGGGAATGGCTCCCGGATAACTTCAGGAAAAGCAGTTTTGTGGGCTGCCTCCTTTTCCTCCAGGAACTTGTAGAGGGAGCAGATGCTCCTCTTCTTTTGACAGACCTCTAGAGGTCAGGAGAATGCCTCCGTGCGCGCTGCGCGCTATTAAAATTCTCCCTGAGTCATGGTAATTAAGCAGAGCTAGGCTCTGCACAGAGGAACGGAAGTGCATTGACTGTAATAAAACAGAGTGTAAAACAACTTTAGATTAACTCCAGCCTTGTTTATTCTTGCACACTTGTAATTCTGGTTTGGTATCCCCCAGTGAATGAAGCCCTTGTCCCCTGCGCCGGGCCTGTCACCTCACTTCAGGCTGCTAAGTGCTGAGCACTGAGAGCAGCGCCTTTTCTTGCTGCTGCTAGCTAATCCCAAAGAATTTGGAAACAGCCGATGGAGAAAGGGAGGGAGGGAGGGAAGTCGCCCTGCTCCCCACCGTTTTGTCGTTCCTCAAGAGTCAGCAAGGCTGTCAGGTTGAGACTCAAGCCAAATATTCCCATAATGGCCAGAAGAGATGGTGTCTTAGAGGCACTCGTCTGGTCCCCACTGCTGCAGCAGTTTTGGGCTCCTGCCAGGCACATGAACTTTTTTTACTGATGCCTTTTGTCTCACACTGACTCTCTTAGAGGCTGTGAAAGGCTGTGCTCTCCTTCCTCCCCCCAGCAGTTTACATGACGTGGGTGGAAGATGCTGTGCTGAGCCCTGCACTACACTACACCCTCTGTCTCAGCCCCTCACCAGCTCTTGGGTCTCCTGGCCACAATAGCCCTTTCCTGTCAGAGGTGATCCCAAGGATGCTTTGCCTGTGTCTAGTGAAATACATGTGTGTGTGTGTGTGTGTGTGTGTGTAAACCTCTGGGCTAAAAAATAAATAATTAAACAATAAAAAGAAAAAAAAAAGAATCAAGTCAGCAAACTGAAGGAAGAACAAAATCTAATTAGCTTTATCTGCTGTTTGTTATGAGGCTGTCAGAGTGCTCTATCCCCTAGTTTTACAGCACTCTGGAAAATAGCAGTGATAATAATAATAAACAACCGTGCACTGGGTTGTTTTTGAAGCAGGCAGGAAGCAGATTAAGGAGGGGGAAAGACAGCAGCCCTGCTCCTCTCCTGCCAAACAGCAGAGATGTGGGTGATAGAGCTATCTCCTGTCTTATCTGTCCTTGGACAAGATCCACTGCCCCCATCCATCCCTCAGAGATGCAAAGCCCAAGTCAGGGAGTGTTTGGCAGCAATTTGGGACCCATATTTATTTTTTTTCCACAGATCTCTTATGTGACCAATTTGTTTGTACTCCCAGTTTCTGTTCCATTGTGAGGTAAAACCACAAATGTAGTAGTGAAAGTAGGTGTGTGTTTTTGGAATAAGGAGGGGGGAAGATAGGGATGTAGAAGTGCCCAGGTGTTTGCTCTATACTGATTTCAGCTGATGAGCGGGGAGTTGGAATTTGTGCATGAGTGTGGTGGTAGTTCCCATCACTGGTTTCCATTTCAGTGATGGGCAGTGATGATTTGTTAGGACATGTCTCTTTAAGCTGTGCTAGATAATTTTAAAATCCTCTTCTGTCAGGTTGTTACCAGCAGATCTGTCCCTTGGCCTGGCCCTTACAGTGTGAAAATTTTCACTCCTGTTTTAGTGAGAGCAGGATTTGACCCTCTGTTGGAAAACACTCGTATGGTTTTCCAGGCAGAGGGCTGGACACAAGGCTCCAGTTGAAGATAATATGCAAAATCTTGGAGAACTAAAAACCCATGTTATTTACAACCCATTGGGAAAAGATGAAGGACGAGGCTAAAGAAATAAGGTATAAACCAAAGAGGAAGGAGAGGACCCGGTGCAAGGAGAGGAATGAAGAGAACAGGAGGGAATAGGAGTAGGGGGCATTTGGGGGAGACACAGGCAAAGAAATGGGATAATTGTTCCTATTTGTGCATCCTCTTCCGTCCCAGATAATGTGTCAGTATTAGTGCTACCAAGAAACAACCCTCTTTACTGTAGAATAAATCTGCCACTGTATTCCCCACTCCATAAACGGCAGCCAAGTCCGTATCCTCAGCGCTGCATTGTGCGCTCGGCGCTGGGGTCTGTGAGTGCTTTTCATGACGCTTGAGCCTGTATCATCCCTGGCCTTGGGCTTTCTCTCCAGGGAATCACATCCTCAGACAGCTCCTGGAAGATCCATGGCACATTATTGTCGGTGGAGCAGTTTGTGGCTACTTTCTTCATCTGTTCTTTTTCCTGCTTCTTTTATTATTTCACTTTTAGAAAGTGAGAGATCAGGAGGGAGTGAGAGAGAAAGGAGAAAGCAGAAAGAAGTGCCCTGCTATGAGTCTAGCACGATCTCCAGAAAGATGGCAAGGCAGCTATTTTAGCATCAGGGGCTTTTTTAGCCTTTAATTAAGCTGCTTGTAGCTCATGCATGGACCAGTGAGAGGGAAGACAAATCTACCACTAAAAACAATCATCATTTGAATACTCTGGCAGTAAGTCCAGTGTCAGTAAACTGCCCTAGCCTTTGGCTAGCTGAGCTCTGGGCTCTGAGGGGCTGGCTCCTCACCAGCTGATGTAATTGCAATCACAACCCTGTTTTCTGCCCCCTTGCTCCTTAAGGCCTGACTGACGGCTTTCCCTGAATGGTTTCCAGTGCATGCCCTGGCAGCTCCTGCCTTTGCCTCGGCATTTCCATAAAAAGTCATTTAGCTTTTCTGTGTTTGTTTCCCTGTCTGTGAAGTGGGGTTATTAATATTTATTTTCGGTGAAAGGGGTCACAGAGAGGTTTAAATCTCCAGTGTTTACAACACAATTTGAGAAGGGAAACAGGAAGGATTAATTGTGGCTTCCTTCATATATCTGCCATCACTGAAATAAAAATCCTGCCCGTTATTGGGATCACCACTAACTCCTTTCCAGGGGCTGACTTGTTTCCTTTGGTCTCTGTGGAAGGTGGCACAGGTGGGCCAGACAAATCCTTGAGGTGAAAGCACGGACAGTGTCGACTAAAACTGGATATTTTACAGCGCAGGAGTCTTCCAAGAACCAGGCAGCATGCTGGTTAGTGAGTTAGGAAAATGGGAAATTTAATAGAGGTGAAAATGAGGCACTTGGGAGAAGAATGGAGCAATCTGGTAAACATCTGAAATGTCTCTGCCCAAGGGCTAGGAGTGTAAGGGCTAAACAGGAAGAATATAAAGCCTTAGTACATATACCAAGATATGAGTTAATCAGCTTCCCAGACACATGGAAAAGAGAAAGTAGGAACAGCAGAAGAAGGATTAATTGGCTGTGAAACATCAGGGAATTGGTAGGTTGAGTCAAGGAAAAAGAATACAGGCCAGCAAGCACTGATTTAGAGATTAGAGCAGAGGTGCAATGACGAGATCTCCTAAGGCAGGGAGAAGAATAGAACAAAAGAAAAACACTAAAAGTGTGTGAGGACCTCATTAATGCCTTAGAATGAGAAATTAATTGTTTTTTGAAAGTTCAAACAGCAGCAGACTAGGAATGAGAAGAGAATGATACCAAAGCACGTGTGGATGAAATCAGAAGGGTCCTGGCAAAGAATGAGCTAGAGGTGGCTACAAACACACAAGGGAAGGAAAAGAAATCCTACAAATATTCTGTAAATATGCTAGAGGGAATAAAACTGTAAAACTGTGTACCACAGAAAGAGAGCACATATAAAGGGTTGTAGTTATCATTGCCTGTTTGACTCCCCTTATCACAAAACAGTCAGTGCTAGATAAATATTACAGAAGTCACATTGATTGGGGTATGGGAATGGGCCAGAGCAAAGGGGTGTAAATTAAAGAACCCTTACACTGAGTGAGTGAATTCAAACTGCTTGACCTGAGGGAATTCCCCTGCGGGTTGTCCAGTGAAAACACTCTGTGAACAGTTAGGAATGGACTTCAAGAACTTCTCCTATATCAAGATGGTTCTTTGGAGTTGAAAAGGGAAATCAGGGTATTTGTTTGTGTAGGTAGAAAAAAAAATAAAAAATAAGAGCCAGGAAATTTAAACCAGCCAGCTAAGCTGAGTCACTACAGAGAAACCTCAACAAATTATGAAACAAACAATTCATTAGCTGCTATAGGATAAGAAGGTGGTAAAAGAGAATCAACATGGATTTGTCAAGCTGATCTAATTCCTTTATTTTATTGGCTAATTGGCTTAGAGGATAACATATGTCTTTGCTTTAGGAAAGCTTTGAATACTTTCTTTTCATAAAGAGTAAAAGTAATATGGTTTATATGAAGTATTTGTAAGGAAGGTGCACATTAGCTGAAGAATTACTTAGGAGAGACAGGTTTCATCTCCATGAACTTTAGCTTTCTGGAAGTTAGGCATCTGAGAGAGGACCTTGTCAATGTCTGTCAATATCTGAAGGGAGATTCACAGAGATGGAGCCAGGCTCTTCTTCCTGGTGCCAAGAAATAGCATGAAAGGCAGTGGGCAGAAACTGGAACACAGGAAGTTCCACCTGAACAGGAGGAAGAATTTATTTCCTGTGAGGGAGAGTTTGTCCAGAAAGGTTGCAAATTCTCCTTTTCTGGAGATATTCAAAAGCCCTCTGGACACAATCCTGAGTGACGTGCT